TAAGCACACACACGCCCGCACAAGCGCACGCACACACACACACGTACACACACACACACACTTCCTCACACACGCACACACGCACGCACACGCCTACACACACGCACACACATACACACCGCACACACACGCACGAACAAATACATACACACCGCACACATACACACCGCATTTACGCGCCGCACACACACACACACACGCGCACACCCACACACGCAAACGCACTGTGTTGTACACACGCCCACACACACGCACACACAGACACGCGAACACACACACACACACACACGTAAAACACAAACATACACACGAAACACACACCCACAGACACCCCCACACACACATGCGCACACACACACACGCCCTCATACGCCCACGCGCACACGAAACACACGCGAAACACTGACACACACAAATCACACACACACGCACACACACACGCGCACACAATAACACTCAAACGCACACACACACGCACACACACGCACACGTACACACAAACACACCGCACACATATATACACACACACACACGCCGCACACACGCACACCGCACACACAGACACACACACATACATACATACATACATACATACACACATCCACACACCCACGCACACAATCAGGCACTTGTTTGTGAACGCAAAGCATTTTGCCTTCGATAACTTTCGCCTTCATCCGAGCACCTGTGTCTTGCAGCACTTCTGCCTTCAGTGAGCTCGTTGCTGACTACATGTGTCTGCTCTCTAAGGTTTGATTCTTCGATCATTTTTTCCTTGAGGCGACCTTGCTATGAATAGCTGGGGGACGAAGAACCCGCACAACCATAATGATCAGGGGAAGGGACTGGAGGACTGTCGGCAAGAATTCGAGCACTGCTGATCACATGGCAACGGCTACGAGATATGGCCGCCTTCGGGAATCCTGGGCACGGCGGCATTGACATCCCTCGTGCGAAAACTTTGACACTCACCTCCGCCGGCAGAGCCGCCGCCCTCGTTCTAACGTCGGCTTCTGCCGACCTTCCGCCGACTCCCGTTGGTGCAGAGAGACAGATCAGCTGCCCGATTCCTGAAGCATGGTGCTTTTTGTGGGTGTGTTCCGCTTTTGCTTTGTAGTGGGTTCGTTTTCGATTTGCTGTTATTGTTGCTTTTCTTCGACCGCGAAGTTCTGGAGGGGAGGAAGAGGAGGAAGAGGAGGAGGAGGAGGAGGAGGAGGAGGAGCGCACGTACCCAAGGAGGAGGAGGAAGAGGAGGAAGAGGAGCGGATACAACACGATGACACGCTCGGCGACGCATCCTTGAAGCCACTGAGCTGCCTGACAAGCCGTGTACACGAATGGAATTGACGCGCCCAGCCACACAGACGTGCTGTCCTGCGAGGGGTGGCTCCTGTGAGCGGCCACCGCCCCGCTGCAGCGGCAGGCTCAAGAATGACAGCCGAGCGTAGTAAGTGTGAACCACTGTGTACCCAGTGATGCCAGACATGGACGCTGGCTCACGTCACAGCGTGCACTGCAGGCCGTGCGTGGCAGTGCTGGGCCAGGGTGGCTTGGCTGGTGCCCACGCTGGTCACTGCTGTTGGTCAGCTTCCCGGCCACGGAGCCTCGCGTCGGTTTGGTCCGAGATCCCTTGGACGTTTGGCACGGACAGCCAATATTCCTCGGAGTCTTCCTCGTAACCTGGTGGCTCAAATCGACCTTTGGGCGACGTTGGTGGGGTGTTGGTGCCCTCATATTTTACGGATTGCTCTGCCATGTCGCAATCCTCTTCGTCACGCAAGGCCAGCTGTTGAATGTTCTGGGCTGGCCTTTGGCTCCCCCGTTGTAGCTTCCGTGGCCTGCCCGGCTGCGAGCGCGACCTGCTTGGCCTCGTTGGTATAACATTTGACGCGGATGCTTATTCTTCTGTCCTCGCGGACGGCGCCGTAAGCAGTGTACATGGGTGAGGTATAATAAGCTTCTTGGAATGTGTTCTGGTGGCCGCCTGGATGCCATACGGTGATGTAATCACTGGGCGATGGCCCCCTCGTATCGTGATAGCTAACGTCAAACTGCATGCAATCATGTCCAGACGTGGATAGGGCCATGGGGACATCCGCTGGTTTGATTCCAAGAGTGGCGAGAGGGGGATCTGGAGAGAGAGAGAGAGAGAGAGGGAGAGGTAGAGGCAGAGAACGAGAGAGAGAGAGGTAACGATCAATATATATATATATATATAGAATATACACAAGCACACCTACCATACATTGCATTCCACCCCATCGAACTACAATACAGTATATTATATTCCATTGCGCTAATTCCCATTCCACTACAAACCATTCATGCATACGCACATCAATACATACATGCATGTATATACACATGCAACCGTGCACACATACACATGCATACACCCATGCATACATGCACAGACATACGCATACAAACAATCGCACATGCACACATGCATACCTACATACACACCCATACACACGCACAAACACGCACACATATATGGACACATCAATACATACACGCACACATACATACATACATGCATACGCGCATACACACATACAACATACACATACCTACATACATACATGCATGCATGCACACATCCATTCCTACATACAACACTACATTCGCGCACACACGTACATACATACACACATACGTCCATGCATACGTACACGCATACACGCATGAATGCATGCACGTATACATATATACAACCATACATGTATGCATTCACGCATGCATACATCCATACACATACACACATACAACCATCCATACAAACATACCTACATACGCGCACCGATACATACGTATACCCATACATGCATGCATGCATACAGGTACACATACATACATATATGAACACATGTACACACGTACATACATACGTACGAACACACACAATTGCATACGCGTCTATGTATACATACATACATGCATGCATGCATGCATGCATATTTACAAATATGCATGTATCCATACACACACAAACAACTATACACATATGCAACACGACATACATACACACAACCATCCATACATGCATACACGCATGCATACACATCTATGTATCGGAGGTGAGGGGGTGAGATCGAAGTGGAACGGAGAGCCCCCTTACCGGGAAATCGATTTCGGTTTCGTGTTCGTGCGTGCCGTGCGTGCCGTGCGGGCGAGGCGAAGCTGCGTGGGCGGGCGAGAGAAAGTCTCCTGTGGCTGAGGCGCGGCCGGACCAAATGTCTCCCTTCCGGCCGGCCGGGGGCTCGCGGTGTCCCGCCGGTGTCTCGCTGGTGTCCCGTGTGGCTGAGGCGCGGCCGGACCAAATGACTCCATTCCGGGCGGCCGGGGGCCCGCGGTGTCCCGCCGGTGTCCCGCTGGTGTCCCGTGTGGCTGAGGCGCGGCCGGACCAAATGACTCCCTTCCGGGCGGCCGGGGGCCCGCGGTGTCCCGCCGGTGCCCCGTCGGTGTCCCGATTATGGTGATGATATTGATGATGATGATGATGATGGTGATGATGATGACGATGTTGATGTTTTGTTTTGATGATCGATAGTGAGATCGGTAGTGATATCGATTGTGAGATCGAACGTGAGATCGAATGTCAGATCGCTTGTGAGATCGATTGTGAGATCGATTGTGATACCGAATGTGAGATCGATAATGAGATCGATAGTGAGATCGGTTGTGAGACCGAATGGGATATCGATTGTGAGATCGATTGTGATATCGATAGTGAGATCGATAGTGAGACCGAATGTGAGATCGATTGTGGAATCTATTGTGAGATCGATAGTCAGATCGATTGTGAGATCGATCGATTGAGTTAGTAGTGAGATCACTATCGGTAATGAGATCGGTAGTGATTTCGATAGTGAGATCGATGATGAGACCGAATGTGAGATCGATTGTGAGTTCGGTTGTGATATCGATAGTGAGGTCGATAGTGAGATCGATAATGAGATCGAAAGTGAGTTCGATAGAGAGATCGATAGTGAGGCCGAATGCGAGATCGATTGTGAGATCGATTGTGATATCGATAGTGAGATCGATAGTGAGACCGAATGTGAGATCGATAATGAGATCGATAGTGAGTTTGATAGTGAGATCGATAGTCAGATCGAATGCGAGATCGATTGTGATATCGATTGTGAGATCAATAGCGAGACCGAATGTGAGATCGATTGTGGGATCGATTGTGAGATTTATTGTGAGATCGATAGTCAGATCGATTGTGAGATCTATCGATTGAGATCGATTGTGAGATCGGTAGTGAGTTCGATAGTGAGATCAATCGAGTGCGACGTTGGTCCCTCCCCCCCCTCACCTCCTTATCACCCGAAGGGTTGTCTATGCGGTATATGCATACATACATACATGGGGTACGAGAGAGAGAGAGAGAGAGAACGACACACACACACACAACACATCTAGAAATAGCTATGCAGACAGACAGACGCCGGAAAACGTCCCGTCGGATGGCCTCATTCGAGCTCGGCGGGGGCGCCGCAGCGCTGTGAATAACTGCACATGGTTCCAAAACAAAAACGCGCGAGGTGTCCAACTCAGGTGGGCGAGAACATGGGCTGCTCTTCTTTTCAAGGCGTGCGCTGGTAGGGAGGCCGAGACCCCGTGTGTGTGTGTGGGGGGCGGCCGCCGCCGCGGCCGGTGGAGCGGAGCGGCGTTGGCCGGGGGCCCGCAGAAGCCGCGGCAGACGGAGGTACCGTGAGGGCATTCGATCAGGAACTGGACAAGGAATCCAGGGTCTGGAAGCCGGTGGGAACGGCCATCGTGGATTGGCCATGGGCATCGCTGCCGCCCTCGTCGGATAAGGATCCCTCCAGGGTCTGGAGTCTCCTGGGCACAATCCGTGACGATCGCCCCAGCCGTAACTAGGGGTGTCGTGGCTGGCCGCTCCTTTGGGTGAGGATCAATTCGCATCGAGCCAGGAAATCCCATCGAGGGGCCTCCCCGCTGGCTGCGTCGTGGTGGTGGTCTGTCCCTCAGATGGGGTGGTTGTCAGACATGGCGTGCCCGCCGAAGCGGGTCTGGGTGGCCGCGTCCCGCGTGCACCTCCTGATGGACGTGATGGCGTGGGAATCAGAGGGGTGAGTCTCGTCGAGGGCGACGTCTCCCGGGCGCTTGCGGATGCGGGCATCGCCGCAGTCGAAGCTCCCGGGTGCCTCTTCCCGGTGGCAGACGCCGTGCTGGTCCTCGTGGTCGTTGCGCTTCTTGATGGTGGCGTGGGTTGCATAATCGCAATCGGTAGTTCGCTGTCGCCGTCGCAGGGCGCCTTGACGACAACGTCGGAGCGTCGCCCCATGTCGAGTGCGAGTGTCGCGTGGCGGTTGTCCGCGAAGGGCTACTTATCCTGTGGACCTGTCGTTTGCTTCGAACATCGTGGTGGATCCCCTGCCAGTCGGCGCAGTCGGCCATGCGGTCGCAAAAGACGGATGCCTTTCCCGCGATCGTCTTGCATTCAAGGCATGTGCTGTGGTCCACGCAATGGTCGGTGTACGCGCGGACGCCGCGTAGCCGGTGGCTGCACATGAAACGGGCGGTCCACTCGGCCGACAGGCGAGGGCGCACGGTGGTAGAGCAGGGTCTGCAGTGTGCCTGCTCGCAGTGGCTGCAGCTCCGCTGGCGCAGCGCGGTAGTGCTCGGGGTGTGGTGTGGTCCCTGGACCGCAGGAGGCTTGGGATAGACGCGCGTGGTGGGCTCGCGCACCATGCTGGTGAGGTGGGTCACGTGGCGCTGGAAGTCGCTTGGGCCCGCGCGAATGTCGGCTTCCAAGTGGCGCGGTGTCTCGCGCCGCGGTGGTTCCCATATCCTTGCAAGGTGGCCCGTTGCCGCCTTCCGCGCCACCGTCGGTGCCCTTGAAGCGCCCCCCCCCCCCACGCCGCCGCGCGGTTGCTGCTGCGGCTGCCATGGGCGAGCAGTGAGCTCCCAGTCGGGCCCCAGGCAATGTTAAGGGAGGGTCACCACCCAGGGTGTCGCCACTTCCTCGAGGAATCGCCATGTTCTCGAGGACATGGGGCCACCAGAAGACTCTGGAGCACCCCCCGAGCGACCCAAACTGTCAAACCACTTCCTAGAGCTTCGATCCTGACACCTCGATCCTAAGGAGGAACTGGTGAACCCACCACAGTGGAGGCCAGTCCACAAGAAACGTCCACAATAAACCCAACCCTGAGATCCCAGGATGTGCATTGATTCTTGGTGTGGGGACGGCACGCTTTCCGTAGCAAAACCATCGAAACCCAAGAAACCCTGGGCACCCCGGTTGGCAAGCAGGGTGTTTCTTGGCATGGGTCTCCGCAGCAGTGGTGAACGCCCTTGGTGCTGCCCCGGGCGGGGGCCGAGGTGGTCGCTGCCCAGCGGACCCTTTGCTGGGCCACCCTGCTTCTGGGGCGAAGGTGCCGAAATCGTCGTCATTGCGGTCGCCGCCGCTGTGATGGTCAGGTCGCGTCGCCGATCTGACGCCGCGATGAGACCAAGCTTGGGAGTCCCGAAACGGTGCGGTAACAGACCGTGCGGTGACCTCGAAATCCCCCAAGAGTTCACCGCACGGTCCGTCACCGCACGGTCTTGGGACCTCGGAGGCCCCTGTCGCCCGAGACGTCCTCGGAGAACGACCCGAGTCCCAAAACCGTGCGGTGACCCCGAATGCCCACCGACTCACCGCACGGTGTGATCAGCGCACCGTGTGGGGGCCCCCGACAAGCGGAGCACGAGGTCGTCCTGAGCTTCCCGGAGAGCGCGGGCAACTTCGCGGTCAGCGCGAATGATGGCCGGCTGTGGCGGGTGGTCCTCGATGACGACCCTCCTTGTAGGGTGCACCATGATGAGCTCGAGGAGGCGATGCCAATTTGACTGTGCTGAAAATGGTTTTCGTCCTCTTGCGTGGTGTCCGTTTCGAAATCGGCCGGATGCAATGACATGCAGGTCTTCGCTGTCGTAAGCGATGCCTCGGAAGCCGTGCTCTGCAGCGTGAGTCGGGGATACGTCCGCATGCCCATGTCTTCTGTGGGTCGAGGCGGCGGTCCTAAGGAGGACTATCGGTTGAGAGCCTCTCTCCCCTTGTGATCGCTGAACATCAGTAAAGCCTGGCCGTCCTGCTGGAATTTGTGGGGCCTCAAGTGCGACGTCATGTGGCCCGAGCTTGTCGAATATTTCATTGTCGCCCGTTGCGAGTTGTGCGCGGTCGATTCCTAAAAACTGGTTGAGGCGTGTGGTTGTGGTATGCTAACCCAGGGAGACTTTGGCGATGTTGCTGAAGACGCGGTACTCGATCGTGGCTGCGCACGTCGCTGCTGGGTCGTCCAGAGAGCGATCCCCTGCCATGTCGGCGGCTGGCTCCAACGGCGGTGTGGTTGGGAACTTTTGCTTAGCGTGTTGCTCCGCCAGTCCTGGCCCACCACGCTTCAGCGTCCAGAGACTTTCCCAGTCTCCCGCCCCGCGGAGCGGAGAGACACGCTATCAGCTCGCAAGTCATAGCGTGTCGCCGCTACTCCCTCTTCCTCCTCCTCCTCCTCCTCCTCCTCCTCCTCCTCCTCCTCCTCCCTCTTCCTCGTCCTCCTCCTCCTGGCTCGCTCGATTTCTGGGCCGTAACTCGGGTCTCTGGCGGCCGTTCGGGACGATCCGGGCAACCCCCAGATGCCCTCTGCGAGGCGCAGCCGCTGGAGAGCACCCCGAGGCTGGATGGCCACCGAGAACCGACGGCAGCGCCCGGAACCCTCGAACCTCGAACATCGAAACGACGACGCCGACGCCGACGCCGACGCCGACGACGACGGAGCCGACGACAATGCCTTCCTCCTCCTCCTCCTCCTCCTCCTCCTCCTCCTCCTTCTCCGTCTCCCTCCTCCTCCTCCTCCTCCTCCTCCTCCTCCTCCTCCTCCTCCTCCTCCTCCTCCTCCTCCTCCTCCTCCTCCTCCCTCCTCCCTCCTCCCTCCCTCCCTCCCTCCCTCCCTCCTCCCTCCCTCCCTCCCTCCCTCCCTCCCTCCCTCCCTCCCTCGTCCTCGTCCTCGTCCTCGTCCTCGTCGTCCTCGTCGTCCTCGTCGTCCTCGTCGTCCTCGTCGTCCTCGTCGTCCTCGTCGTCCTCGTCGTCGTCCTCCTCCTCCTCCTCCTCCTCCTCCTCCTCCTCCTCCTCCTCCTCCCTCCCTCCCTCCTCCCTCCCTCCCTCCCTCTCCTCCCTCCCTCCTTCCTTCCCTCCCTCCTCCTCGTCCTCGTCCTCGTCCTCGTCCTCGTCCTCCTCCTCCTCCTCCTCCTCCTCCTCCTCCTCCTCCTCCTCCTTCCCCCTCCCCCGCTTCGACGCCGAAGGCGGCGGCGGCGGCGCCCCTCCCCGCCCCCCTGCGGCGTGGGATGGCGCCTCTGCCCGCAGCCAGGAGGCGCCGTGCGCCTGGGACGCGCGCGGGTGCGGTCCAAGCAGCCCCGTCGCTCGGACGGCCATTCCCTGTGTTTTTTTCCGGCTTCGTGCGCGTTTTTGTTTTTTTTTGTTTTTTTGTTTTTCTTTTCTTTTGGTTCGCAGGAGGATCCAGGATGTTCCCCAATGATCCCCGCCGAGAAAAAAAGTGGGCGCTCGAGTGGGCGCTCGCGAGAGCGAGTGGGCGCTCGCGGGCCAGCCGCGAGTGGGCGCTCGCGGGTGCGGTCGCTCCCCGTCGCTCGGACGTCCATTCCCCAAGGGCTCCCAACTTCGCGCTTCGCGCTGGGCGACGCGCGAAGGGCGAGTAGCTTCGCGCTCTCGCGCCGCCTCCCAGGGGGGGGGAAGAGGAGGAGGAGGAGGAGGAGGAGGAGGAGGAGGAGGAGGAGGAGGAGGAGGAGGAGGAGGAGGAGGAGGAGGAGGAGGAGGAGGAGGAGGAGGAGGAGGAGGAGGAGGAGGAGGACGGAGGACGACGAGGACGAGGACGAGGAGGAGGAGGAGGCGGAGGACGAGGAGGAAGCGAGGAGGGCGGAGGAGGATCCAGGAGGAGGCGGAGGAGGAGGAGGAGGAGGAGGAGGAGGAGAGGAGAGAGACTCGAGAGGATCGGAGCCGCACTGCGAAGCGCGAGTAACTTCGCGCCCTCGAGGGCACTCTTCATTCCCTGTGTTTTTGTCGGTTTCGCGCGCGGTTTTCTCGCAGGAGGATCCAGGGTGCTCCTCAATGATCCCCGCCGAGAAAAAAATGCACACGTCCGAGCGATACCAAGGTCAGAGCAGCCCCAGAGTCAGGTCGGGCATGCCCTCCCACAGGCAGATTTTTGGGCGAAGCATGAACAAGACTCAGAACTGTGCAAACATAGTCAAACTTAGTGAAAAACAGATCGTCCCCAGACTCGTTTCTTAACCTATTTTTGAATATTTCTCCTGTAGAGGGGCAGGCCTGACTTAAACCCAAATCTCCGACGACCATGCAAATTTTCAATCTGGGCGTTTTTTCTTAGACCTCGGCCTCCGGGGCCTCCTGTGGGGTTCCAGGGCCATCCAAACTTACCCGGGACGACCCAAACACCCCTGGGGACAGGGGTCGGGAGCTCTGGGTCCGCCCAGTCACACAGAAACGTATTGGCGAAGTCGCTGGGCTGGGAAACTTGCTTGACCACCTCCAAGGTCTGGTTCCAATCAGAACCCTCAGGACGAGATCGAGAGAAAACTGGTAACCTTAAGGTGGGGAGCTCAACGGATGACGGCCTGTGTGACACTCGGAGCCGCACTGCACAATGCGGGCTGGTGGAGACGTCACCCTGTCGAACGCATCTTACGACGTTGGGTAAGAGACCTGCAGATGCCACACAGTAGACCATATTGGCTCTCTCTTATGCTTCTGCTGCTGCTGCTCCTCCTCCTTCTCCTCCTTCTCCTCCTCCTTCTCCTCCTCTGCCTTCTCCCTCGTCGTCATCGCCGCCGCCCTTCCTGCTCCTCTTCCAGTTGCTGTTTCTCCCACTCTTCTCCCTCGCCCGCCTCCCCTGAAGATGGACAGGGAGGGGGGGATGGGGAAGAGAGAGGGAGGAGGAGAGGGAGGTGAGGGAGGAGAGGGAAGAGAGGAGAGGAGGGAGAGGAACGAGGGGAGGGAAATGGAAGAGAGCAGGTGAGGGGAAGGGAGGGGGAGGAGGGGGAGGGGAAGGGGAGGGAGGGGGATGGAGGGAGAGGGAGGAAGGGAAGGGGAATCGGGGAGGGAGCGGGAACGGGGAATGATAGGGAGGGGAAAGTGCCTCCCTCCTCCGCTCCCCCGACCTCCGCTCCCCCTCCTCCCCTTCCTCCTCCTCCTTCTTCTTCCTCCTCCTCCTCCTCCTGATCCTCCTCCTCCTCCTCCTCCTCCTCCTCCTTGGGACTACGCTTTCGACGAGGACCATGTTCGCGTAACGCAACTCCCCGAACACCTCCTAAAACACCGTCCCGACCGATGCTTCGAGCTGCGTCAGGCCGTGGCCACAAGTGCCCACTCGGAACCCGCAAGAAGGTCACCGCGAGACTCCAAGAATCTGGGCCCTCGAACCTCCTCCTCCTCCTCCTCCTCCTCCTCCTCCATCCTCCGTCCTCCTCCTCCTCCCCCTCCTTCACCCTCCTCCTTGACCTCCTCCTCCTCCTCCTCTCCTCCTCCCTCCTCCCTCCTCCCTCCTCTCCTCCTCCTCCTCCTCCTCCTCCTCCTCCTCCTCCTTCTCTCCTCGTCCCAAGCGAAATCTGATTAAAACGGGTCTGGAGATCCCTCCCAGAGTCCACCTTGGCCAGTGTTCTGATCCCGGACCGGTTTCTGACGGCCCTGCGGGCCCACGTGAGCCCCCGAGGCTGAAAACTGTGAAACGCCGACTCGATCCTGGATCCTCCAACCCACCTCTTCGACTCTTCGATCCTCGAGCCTTGATAACTTCGACGACGAGCGCTTCGAGCTTCAAGCCTCGATCCTGGGCCCTCGGTCCTCGAGCCTCGATCCTCGAACTCGGTCGGTCCTCGACCCCTCGAGCTCAGCGCTCCTCGAGCCTCGAGCCCAGAGCCCTCGACGGCGAACGGGCCGAAGGGTGCCTCGTGGATGTGGCCGAAGAGCCACGCCTTCGGCCGCCGCTCCCGCGGCAGGGCCTGCACGACCTTCCGCAGCGCCCACGAGCCTGGGCCCGTCGTCGCCGTCGCCGTCAAAATCCGCCGGCCCCCTCCTGTTCCTCCTCCTCCTCCTCCTCCTCCACCTCCTCCTCCTCCTGCTCCTCCTGCTCCTCCTGCTCCTCCTGCTCCTCCTGCTCCTCCTCCTCCTGCTCCTCCTGCTCCTCCTGCTCCTCCTCCTCCTCCTCCTCCCTCCTCTCCTCCTCCTCCTCCTCCTGCTCCTCCTCCTCCTCCTCTTCTCCTCCTCCCCTCCTCCTCCTCCTCCTCCAGCTCCTCCTCCTCCTCCTCCTCCTTCTCCTACTCCCTCCTCCTCCTCCTCCTCCTCCCTCCTCCTCCTCCTCCTCCTCGAGCGTAGCAGGGTGGCGCACCGAGTCCCCCGCCAGCTCTACGACGCGGTGGTGCAGCTCGACCGCTCGACCTGAAATCGAACTGTCGGCAGCACGGACCCGGCCTGCGACATCGAGAGAGTACCCTCAGAAGAGAGGGGCAGAACATGCAATGCATTGTACAAGTAGAATGCGAAAACTGGCACTCTGAAGGCTTCCCTCGCAGGGCGCCAGATGCCGAGACGGGCAATTGGCTCGCCCTCTATGATGTGACCGACACCAGCTTCCAGAAGCCAGAAGAAGACAGGGCAGGTCCAGTAGTGCCAAAAACTGTCGGCGCCATTCGGGCAACCCAGGACACATTTCGCGGATCCCTGGGACCTATTACTGGTGCACCAACAGCCCCCGAGAGTCTTGAGGACGGCGGATCTCCAAGAGGGGGGGAGGGAGGCGATCACTTCACGAACTTTTTCCCAATCGACGGAGTCGATGATGCTCTTGCAATCGGGTCTGGCCCCCAATAACCGTCGCCGAAAAGTGTGCTGAAGTCTGTCAGGATAAAGCTGTTCAGTAAGGGCACGAGTGAAGATCCTTTGGGGCTTGAGGGACCTCAGGGGCTTGTCGGGAAACGCGGCTTGAACGTCTTTAAGGGCCTGTAGAGCTCTGGTGCCAGCCTGCGACAGGTTGGGGTTCAGCAGGAATCCCTCGGAGGCCTCCAGGAGATTGAACGCATACGGGGGGCTCTTCCAGTGAGACGGCCACTGAGTTCGCGCAATCGAGCGGACCAAGGGTAATAGTTCCTCAGCCTCGCGGAATAGGAGGTCCACTCCCGCGCTCCAAGAGGTAAAAGTGCAAATAGCGGCCCGCATGAGGGACGCGTGACACATCGCCTGTACACTGCCAAGCTTGGGCCCACCCCATTGCCCAAGATTATGCCAGTCAGCATTAGTCCACGCACGATGCTGTATCTTCAGGAGCCGAGGGAAGACGCAATACTCATCATGTTGAAGGCGACGAGGGGGAGGGAGGAATTGAGCAACGTAAGATAGGACAGATAACGCACGCGACCGATATAGGCCAGCCGAGACCTCGGAGGAGCTCCCCAGGGCGCCGATGGAGTGGGCTCTGCTGATGTACTTAGCGATAGGTTTCTTCCAAGGGTCCTCAGGAGTGACGGCAGGACCGAGGAGCATCCCTAAGTAGCCGAGGGCGTCCTCTATCTTAAAAGCCTTCCAGTCAGGTATATTGCCGAGTAGCCAGGCTTTGATATAGAACTTGAGTCTGGCCGTCAATGGGCCACCAATAGGGACAATCGTGCATTTAGAGCTCTTGATCTTCAAATGCGCAATGTGCCTGGCCAACTCGAAAACTTGGAACGCGTGCATCACGTAAGCCAAGCGACGAAGGGCCATGCCTACGTCGTCCGCACAGGCACGAGTGATACCTCTGTCAGGGGCGTCGATTTTCTCCCTGAAGGCCTGGAGGAAGGGGTCCATGGACAACGCGAACAGAAGGCCAGAGCCTGGGCACCCCTGGATCATACCACTTGTTATATGAAATAGAAACTGGTGAATATGCCCTATTTTGCCCCAACAAGAGACATCGACGTAGATAAGCTCGAAAAAGTCTGTCAAGGCCCTTGGGATCGGCAGCGATGCCAGAACCATCAACATCCACTGCTGGCTGACGGACGGGGAGGCCTGGCCGAAATCGTACCCGACCAACACCGGGTGCAACGAGGGCTCATGCATACTGTAGGTGCGTGCTCGAACATCCAGGTCGATAATGTTGTCACCGAAATTCCCCCCCGCAACAAAACCTTTTTGGATCTCGTCGAGACCCTGTGGCACGGCGCGGCCCAATGCATAGCAACAAGCAGCGGTGATCAACTTGTTATCGGCGTTTTTTCAGCCCAAGGGGACGGGTGTTCGTAGCACTTCTGATCGCACCATTGCCGTCGTCGTCCTCTTCGCCCTTCGGCGCGAAAACCCCAAGGATGGCGTTGAAGTCAGCACCAAGTGAAAAGCCTCCGAGCATCCACCTCGTACTGTCCGTCAGGATCTCGATTCCCATGGGGGCATTTTTCCACGCCTCGTAGGGTAGGTTATCAGGGCCAGGGGCCGTGGGGCGAACGCGGTCCAGGATTTTCCGAAGAGTGTGGCTGCTCGGCGGCGGTAACTCTAGCTGCGGCAACTTCGGGGCGTGGCGCTGCAGGAGGTTAGCGGCCTGCTCAGCCAGAAAGGGCTTCGCCGTGAAGACCTTGCGCCAATGGGCACCGAGCTGTTGTAGCATCTGTAAGGGCTCTTGCACTAACGAGCCGTTGTCGAGGCGAACGCCTGCAAGGTACATGCGCTTGTCAAAAGGGGGCCACAGCTGCTGCATCTTCGTCGACCTACGCTGCTGCTTTTTGAGTTTGCTCCTCCGGTGGTAATCGGACTCCCGCTCAGCTCGCTGACGGATTTCAGCTCGAAAACGCTTTGCGGCTTCATGATGCAGGGCGCTCGACAACACAGAAAACTCCTGCGGCAAACGAAGAGCGACAGTGTGCACCTCATGCTGTACATCAAGGTGCTCTCTGGCCAGAGGGTGAGCACGTAAGAGCTTGGCCGCCAGCGCACAGTCGTTCTGGAAGACCGCCCGCGCACAGCTTCTGACAATCAGGAACTTTGCAGTGATGCTGTTCGGCTTATGTACTATGATGCTATCTCGTGCGTGTCGTGCGGCTTCATGCATCAGCATTTTCAGGTAAGCATGAATCTGCGGTTGGCTCATGTCGGCCGGCGGCGGGGCGATCTCCCAAGCAGACGCAAGAAACTTGGCGTGCTCCACTGACTTGAAAATCTCGCGGGGGATCGGGCGCTGGTCGGGCGGGGTCCTCTCGCGAACCTGTAAACAGACGCAAACGGGGGCATGGTCGGAGATCTCCTTCGCTTGCAGCACTACGGGATCCTGTGGGACCTGGCCTCCAGAAGCATGTTGCGTGATGACCCAACCAGGGGCCGAGGTGAAGATTCTGTCGATAAACGTGAGCATTTTGGTACCAGGATGGAAGTGGGTCGGGGCCTCCAGCTGAATTTCAACCAAAGGTCCGAGAGCGTCTCGCCATTCACGAGGGGCAGGGGCAGGAGGAACAGGAGGAGCCGCTTCAGGGTCAGGAACGAGAGGCAGAGGAGAAAGATGACTAAAGTTGAAGTCGCCCGCGACGAAGAGGAGCCTCTCATGCGGCCTCTCCTGGCTCAAGGCGTACTCCGCACGTATTTTGTGAGAAACAGCACGTCTCTCCTGCACGTTCAAATCATGATTATGTACGTTGTAGTGGGATATCCACGAGCGACCATCTTGAGACCTGATTTTCGTGTGTAGAACTCGTCCAGGAACGATGGGGTCATACGTGACGAGGGGGAGGGGGAATCCAAAAAGCTGTTGCCGAACCTCAGACCTCTGGAAAACGGGGAACAAGGTAGCGACACCTCCAGTTCTGAAGCAGGGGAGTCAGGAGGAACGAAGGAAGAGGTGAACTGGAAAGGGGAATTAAACGTATGTCTAAAATCTTCTAGATAATGTTGGGTCCCGTGCACTTCCTGAATCGCAGCTATAGCGCCTGGCTGCAACAGAGAGGCGAGAAATTTCTGCTTTCTCGTGCGGAGAGACGGCTTGTGATGCATCAGGGCATTGGCGTTCCACGTCGCCAAGCGCACAGGCGTTGCAGAGCGATTCTGCCCGCTCCAGAGCGCGTGCAAAATGCTAAACGCACCGCTCAGAGTCATCCTCATTCCCTGCCAGGGACTCAGTGACCTTCGTGCGGAGCGACTCCAGGTCGAAGCCGAGGTCCGCGAGGTTGCGCGGCTTCCACCGCAGGTACGGGACGTCGTCCGTGCGCGGCGTGATCTCCAGCAGCTCCTTCCACTGGTACGAGAGGACGCCCTTCTCGCGGTTGATGAAGATCTTCCGATCAGGGTACAGCACGTTGAAGGCTGTCTTCGCTCTCTTGCAGGCAATCGCACGCTTGATCTGACAGGGGGACTTATCTGGTCCAGCATACACTTCCACTCGAACTCTCTCGATGTTGACGCAGTACAACTTGTTCCACGACCCGCCAGGCTGGGGAGGTTTGAGTAGACCCAGAGATTGGTTGACCAGACGGCTCGCATAGTTGACCGCCCCTTTGAACTTGATGAGGTACCTCTTGCTGGACGGGTCGCCGTGGATCTCCCATTGGTCATCATTGATTGCACCTTGCGCCAGCCAGTGTCTTGCCATCTCTTTGATACCTTCCTTAGACACGAGGGATTGGCAGCGCAGCACGATGATCGTCGGGTCAGGCGAGCGATCGAAGTTCGAGCCAGCCAAGGTCGGAGGTGGGGCTGGAGTCGAACTCTTGGCCACGCCAAGCTCTGTGCGCAGGTGCTTGATCTCCGCCATAACTTCAGCAATCTGGGATGTGTGGTAGCGCACCGTCGCCTCCAATGGTGCCAACCGTCGCTCCACTTGGGTCGATAGTGCCGTGCATGAATTAGTGACCGAAATCGCTGTCGAAGCCAAAGTGGCGTTGACAGATGTCTGCATCTGCGACGGGTCCTGCGTGAGGGAGTCGCGCATCTGGTCGATATACGCTTTGAGGTCCGAATCTCCTTCCCCACAGATCTCAAAGTCATTGTGTTCACGACCTCCGTGACCGAGTTCACTCGGGCGCTTGACCCCACCACCACCGCCAGCAGGAACACCAGCACGAGCAGGGGACGGCACCTGGGACACCTGCGACGGGAAGGTTGCCATGGCGTCGATCTCAGCCGCCAGTCGCGCAGCTTCATCATGAAGAACGTTCGCAGCCATGCCTCGCGGCTACCTGGTAGCCGCACCCGAAAGGCAGAGACTGGGAACAGGGCGCGGAAAGCGCGAGGGCCCCTGGTGGCCACAGAAAGGCAGCTTGGGCCACCTGCGGAGACAGGGACCAAAGCTAATCGCTGATTCTCGGACGTCTATAGTCCTTCACAACGTTTAGCCTTGAGCCAAAATGGCTACGGACCTCCTCCTCCTCCTCCTCCTCCTCCTCCTCCTCCTCCTCCCCCCCCCCCCCTCCTCCTCCTCGTCCTCCTCCTCCTCCTGCTCCTCCTGCTCCTCCTCCTCCTCCTGCGCCTCCCCTCCTCCTCCTTCTCCAACTCCTCCTCCCCCTTCTCTATCATCCGTTCCCTGTCCTCGGTCCTCCTCTCTCCATCCTCTGGCCTCCGTCCTCCTCCCCCCCCCCCCTCTCGGAGACGAAGCGTCGGCATCCGCCACCGTGCCCTGAGGCACGAGTTGGTGTATCATCAGGTCCTTTGCATCGTCCCCTGAGCCTCAATCCTCAATCCTGAGGATTCTTTCAGGGCCCAGACTCCTAGCTCTCAAATCTCCCAAGGCTTCCCACCTGCCTTCTGGGCTCGCCCGCGTCTTTTCGCGCGACTTTTTTCGGGGCCAAGAGACGGGCCAACAGGGCCCCAGGAGTCCTCCAAGACGGTCCAAGCAGGCTCCGAATGTCCGAAGGACTGCTTCAAGCCGCTCCAGATGGCCTCCAGACGGCCCAAGACGCTTCCACTACGCTCCAAGAGGCCTCCAAGCCCCAATAAGCAAACTACTGAGTTATTCTTTAGGTTTTGCCAGATTCTGGCCTTCTCGCCTTTTCGGCTTCCCGACGCTCCAAAACGGCCCAAGAGGCCCCCGAGATCGCTCCAAGACTGCCCAAGAGGCATTTTCAGAGGGTCTCAAGACGCGCTCCTGGCAGCCCAGGTGGGCTGCCTGGGGCGGACGGGACGGTGGCCCGATTTTCCGCGCTGCATCAGAAGCGCGTCTTGGGCGAAACGGGCTCTAAACTGCGAGTGACTGCCTGCGCCATTTAGAGCGCGCAAATGCCTTGTAGTATAGTGGTTGGCGGCGAAATCTCTCACACTCGAAGCTTTCTGGGTTCGCGTCCCAGGGTGTGCATCTGTAGGCGTATGTGTGAGCATGCAGTAGGCCAATGAGGCCCTGTGCCGCGCTCGCCCAGTGCCCTGGGGCGCGCTCGGTGCCAAACACGGCGGCGGGCGTCATAGTGCTGCCGAGTGGCGTGGCGGACCTGGGCGACGCAACGGCGGGCGCAAACATGCCAACCGTCACTTCGCTTGTCCCTCGGGGCTGCCACTTCATCCCAACTTGTGTGTTGGATTTCAACGCCACTTGACGTATGCGAGGACCTTGTCAATTTGCATCCTGGGGGGGCTCTGCGGCTCGCTCCCCGTGATGCGGGACTTCGTGCTGGCGAGCGCGGCGTCAGTTCCCCGTAGTTCGATGGCGACTTGCTTCACTTCTCGGGTGTCAGGCTTGACTCTGATCCCCACTCGTTTGTCCGCTCGGACAACACCATACCCTTTGTGCTTCATTGAGGTGTTGTACGCCTCTTGAAGGATGGCCTGGTGACCATCCAGGTACCGCACAATGATGTAATCACTGGGCGGAGGCCCTTTGGTGCCGTGGGAGCGGATGTCGAACTGGATGCCTCCTTGCCCGGGGGTAGAGCGGACCAATGGGGCGTCGGTTGGCTTGATGCCGAACGTTGCCGTTGGCCTGGGCTTTCCGACTGTTGTGCCGTGGCGTCCTAGGAACTTCATGGCGCCTTGCATTTGGACAATGCGGAATTGGGACGAAACACGGCAGTGAAAGCGTCCGTGAGGTTGTCGTCGAGCTATTCGCGGGAGGCGTCTTCTTGTCAATTTTATGGCGCTCTCTTTCGCTTTTTGTTGTTCCGTGCATGGTCCGCCTGAGAAGCGGTTTTGATTTGTGGGTGCAGCGCCTGAGATCTGTGCGGTGCACAACTCCCTGAGCGTGGGTGTGGCCGCAATATCGTTAACATCAGAGATAGCGGCGCGGAGCCAGACTACAGTGTCGGCTGGGTCGAGTGGCCTGCGCGACGTTCCAGGAACATTTCACACCGTCCAGTCCGAGCTTGTAGATTGTACTGTGTGTGTGTCCTGGCGTGAGCTTGGTAAGCTTGGCTGTGCGACGGAAGATTGGGATTGAGGGTCTCGCGTTCTGGGTAACATGTGTTGGTCGGTCCCAGAACTGCGCGCGCGAAGAATTTGTCTGATGTTCGGATCTGCTGCAGCAGACGATCGGCTTCCTCTGGCGTGAGGAATGAAAATGTACTGGTGTGCGACGTCCCGTCGCCCTCTTTCTCGGGTGCGGTGGTTAAGGGGACGTCTCACTTCGGTGCATCCAGTCTGATGAGAAGGGCTTACCCAGGTGGGCTTCGGCGTCGACCGTGGTCCCTGGCGGATCACGGTCTGAGGCTTGCTGTTCGTGAGGGAGTAGTGGGCTATGGTGTAGCTGATCTTGTTTCTCCCGCGCAATCTTATTAGCTCGCCTCTGAGCCTGCGTTGGTCGGACCGGTGTTGTTGGTAGATCGCATCGATGTCGGTGTGATGCTCGTTGGGCCAACCGGTTGCCTGCAGCGACTGCTGTGTCGACGCCACCGCTGCTCTGGAGCACGGCAGCGCAGGCTCCCTTTCGGGACAGGTTGCTGTCTGGTAAGGCAGCCTTTTGGAAGCCTTTGCCCAGTGGCACCCCGCCTGTGTTACCTTAGTCGTTTTGCGCCAGGGGGCACCGGAGGAGGAGGAGGAGGAGGAGGAGGAGGAGGAGGGAGAAGAGGAGGAGGAGGAGAAGGAGGAGGTGGAGGAGGAGGAGGAGGAGGTGAAGGTGTGGATGCTGAATCACGCTCCCAGGCCTTTGGTAAGGTAGCCTTTTGGAAGCCTTTGCCTAGTGGCTTGGGCTGCCGTGGTGCTGGGCGCGCGCGCTGGACCGAAAGGGCGTGGCGCCAATCCGGCAGGGCCTGAAGGGAGGCCGTGCCCTGCCTCGCGGTGCAAGAGCGGATGCTGGGAGCTCGGCGTCTGGGCTCGCAGTGAGCAGAACTCTCGAGCCGAGACGAGAGAGAGAGAGAGAGAGAGAAAGAGAGATAGAGAGAGAGTGTGAAAGAAAGAGAGAGAGAGAGAGAGAGAGAGAGAGAGAGAGAACAAAAAGAAAGAAAGAGAGAGAGAGAGAGAGAGAGAGAGCGCGAGAGAGAGGGATAACGAGAGAAAGAGAGAGAGAGAGAGAGAGCCAGGACGCAGAGATCACTCCTGCCCCTTCCCCTGCCATGGGCCCGCCTGCGCGCCCGCCGTGGTAACACAGGTCCCTGAGGGTGGGGGGGGGCGCGGCCGCGGGGCGGACGGGAGGAGGTAACACTGCGCGCGAGGCGGCGGAGGAGGAGGAGGAGGAGGAGGAGGAGGAGGAGGAGGAGGAGGAGGAGGAGGAGGAGGAGGAGGAGGAGGAGGAGGAGGGATGATGATGATGATGATGATGATGATGATGATGATGATGATGATGATGATGATGATGATGATGATGATGATGATGATGATGATGATGATTATGCTGATGATGCTGTTGCTGATGATGATGATAATGATGATGCTGATTCTGATGATGATGACGATGATGATGCTGATGATGAGGCTGATGATGATGACGACGAGGAAGGTGATGATGCTGATGCTGATGATGCTGCTGCTGCTGATGAACATAATGATGATGGTGGTGGCGGTGATGATAGTAATCATGATTCTAGTGGTTGTGGTGGTGATGATACAAGTGTGCGACAAGACACCGTGGGCAGAGGAACTGGGCCAAGGATCCCCATGATGATGATTATTATGATGCTGATGCTGATGTTGATGCTGATTCTGATGATGATGATGCAGGCTGGGCTGGTCTCCTCTCTTTTGATGGCACTCCCCGGGTCAGGTTGAACAGCATGGAGCCTGGCAGTCTTTCTCGAGAGCGTCCAACCCTTCAACAACTCACCTGGTCCTGGCAAGGCTATGGTCTCAGCTATCTCAACAGACGCTCGTAGGGCACACGCATCACCGCAGCTGCGGCCTCCAGGAGGACGGGACGAGGATGAGGAGGATGATGAGGAGGATGAGGAGGAGGAGGACGAGGACGATGATGACGAGGACGAGGAGGAGGAGGAGGAGGAGGAGGAGGAGGAGGAGGAGGAGGATCCGCAGAAGCGAACCGCACTCCCCTCCTGCCAGCAGGGTGGAGTCGATACATACATATATAGATAGATATATATATATATATATATATATATATGTATAGATGGTTGGTGGGGTCCCAAGGCAGCTGCGGAGGTGGCCGACGGGAGCGCATGCGCAAAATCTCGTCTGTATCTTGCAAACATCACCCCTTACTTCTCGTTAGTCGCTCTGGGATTTGACCATGCAGGCTGAGCTTGACACCAGGCCAGGACGAGGATAACATCGGGTGAGGACAAAACGATAGTCTCTGAGATCCATCGGCTCTGGAAGATGTCTCGGGCGCCACGGCCTTCTCAGAGCGTTCTGGATCGCTCTGAGAGCGTTCCCGAACGCTCTGAACGGATTTATCCTCATCCTCGCCCCATCCGAGAGCTCATCTTTTTTATGGCAATGGCGTCCGCTTGCTCGACCCGACCGCCAGAATCAGGGCCCGCCCGATCCGACTCGACCGCCGCAGAAAGGGGGCACCCCTCGCCCAACTCCACCGCCCGAGTTCGGGACGGCCCGGCCCGATTGCCGACCGCCCGTCCGACCTTGCAGAGTAGAAGACCTCCCGGGAAGGGGGAGGGCGAAAGAGCGGGAGGGCGGGAAACGAGGGTGGCAGAGGGAGGGGGTCAGATTCATTCGATGGGTCCGAGGAGCAAGAAGTATGGCCGCCATCGTCGTCGCCATCTTCGTCGTCGTCATCGCAGGGGTCGCCCCTCGTCGTCAGCGCCGTGGTCGTCGTCGTCGTCGTCGTCGTCGTCGTCGTCGTCGTGGTCTCCGTCCAGGCTGGCGGCGGGGGCCCGCTGCGGCCGCGAGGGAGGGCCTGACGCCGTAGGGCGGCACGTGGGTCACCAGCAGGTCGACCCCCTCCGGTATCCTCACGTTCTGCAGGTGGCTCTCCCTGGCCTGCCGCCGCCCTGTTCCTGCTGCTGCAGCCCAGGATGCGTCAACGATGCTGCAACTCACCCTCTCGTCCCGAACCCTCTGCTCATAGGTCGCTGTGGATGTTCCTCTTCGCTGCAGGCAACGCCAACTTGAAAGACTGGCGCCCAATGGTCCTGTCATTCAGGCTGGGTTCGCGCTTTGTCAAAGAAACATGCCTTGATTCCTTATGGAGCTAATTCTGGGACGAACATGTGGCTTATGTTTGCCACCCGCACAAGGTTCTTGAACCCTCGGTGTGCACTGCATGCGGTGCAATGAACCGAGCCAATGAAGACTTGTCACCCCGCCGCTCGCCCAAACATCCCACCCTCCCACCTGTTCCGTGAAAGCCAAGCAGCCGTGTTTGGCTGCTTTGCACTGGCTACCGCATCTCCGCGGCCGCGCTGGCGCGCGCACCCTCGCGCGCAGTGCGGCCCACTGGTGTGGCACAGCTGATGTGGCCGCGATGGCGCTTACCGTTGGGAGCTTCCCAGCGCGTCTCAAAGGCCGCGCTAGCACGCGGGCATCTCAGCGCGGGTCGGTGGCTCGGGCGGGCTCGGTATCGTGATGACGTCAACGCTCTGCTGGTATGGGCGAGTGTGCGCGCATAGTGTTACTTGACTGGGATGACAGGGGAGTGTAGATACCGTTTGGGCTGGGATGGTATGGGTTCATATGGATAATGAACGATGAAGCAAGATTGTATGTTATTTGCGGTGCCCCACGAAGTATCGGCGAGTCTGGGCTCGGGTGGTGGAGTTTGTGTTTGTCTTTGTTTTGAATGATGAGCCTATGGGATGCGATCTACGTGGTGCAATGTCGTGCACATTGACATCTTTTTGGCGAAAGCTCGGCGGTGCAAGTTGCAGGGTGCAACTTATGCGATGCAACCCACGGGGTGCAAAGCTACCGTGCGCAAGCTACCACATGGGCCAAATGGGTGCAAGTCAGGTGGTGCAACTGCGCGGTGCAAGCCGCGGGGTTCTATATCCAGCTGGTGCAATCTGTGCGGTGGAAGCTCTGAAACGCCATCTGCTTACTGCAAACTTATGCCCAAGAGAGGTCAGCCAGCGCACAAGACGCGCACGAGGCTGACAGTGGCCGGCACCGAGCGAAAACCCAAATAGGCGGCGCGCCCAGGGGGGAAATCAGAAGGGGCGGGCCTTCTCAGAAGGCTCGGAAATCTCCCGGCCTTCTGACAAGTTTTCTGAGTCTCCCCCGAAGACACACAAAACCTGTCAAAGGCGCCAGGGCTTCCGAGAAGCCCCGCCGCCTTCTGAGAGAAGGCCTTTTCCTTCTCGCTCCCCCCCCTCGCTCGCCGCCGACCAGAGGCGCCGGCCAGCGCACGGGGCCGGCACCGAGCGAACACCCAGAGAGGCCCGCCAAGGCGCGGGGCGGGCACCGCCGCGGGCACCGAGCGAACAAAAGCCGGAAGAGGCCCGCAACGGCGCGCGGATATTGTATCGGGCGCGGGGTTGGCACGGGCGGGCGCGGGGCGAAGGCCTGGAAGAGCCTGCCGGTGCGAGCGACGCTTCGAGGAAAACATCTCAGGCGGTGTGGTTTAGGCGCGTCCCGCCTGCACGTTCGAAGTGTCGTGCCCCCCGCGCTGGAGCGGGATCTCCCGTCGGCCGCCGACGCGCACGCAGCAGGCTTGACCTACCGTGCTGAGGCACAGGATGCCTGGTGCCATGGCGGCTGCAGAGCAGGGGAGAGGACAGGCAGAAGAGGAAGATGGAAGGGGAGGGCAGAGGGGGAGAGAGGGGCGCGAAAGTGCGCGCCTGCATTCGCACCCTCGACGCCGACCGATCGAATCGGACTCGCGGCGGCCGGCAGTAAGGGCCTCCTGGGCAACTCGGAGCGGAAGGCGTGTGCTTCTGCGCTCCTCAGAGGCTCGTCGGGTCGAAGGTCGGGTGCCTCACCGCTCATCGCGAAGGCCTAGAACTCGCCCAGCTCCGCGGGGTCACATCTGGGCGCGCACCAGAAAAGCATCCAGTTCCGCATGCAACCCTGGTCCCACACATTCCTCGACTTGACGTACACAAAGTCGTCGAACAACTCGTCGTACTCCTCCTCGGTCAGGTCATCGATCTCCCTGGGCTCCCCGGTCAGCTCATCGAATACGACATAGTTCGTATCCTCCTTCCACTCCTGCGCCAACTCGTTCCGCGTCACGAACCCGACGTGCAGCCTCAAGATGGGGACCGCATACCAGGCGAGGATGGCCTGGACCACGAGGTGAACGGCCAGCGCGCCCTGGATGCTCGGCGACCAGGGCGCGGTGTGCCACCCTGGCCCGTGCGCGAAGTAGTAGGCGGGCGCCAGGGCCAGGTCCATCGCGACCCCGAGCACGGCGTTGGCCACCAGGCAGATCACCATCACCAGGAACGCCCTGTGGTTGAAGAGGCCGACGGCCGGACGAGGGCCAGCATCGGGCCGGGGCGGCTCCCCCGCCGGGGCCAGGCCCGCTGGAAGCCCGTCCCCAGGGCCCCTCCTGACCCGTCGAGTCGTTGGAGGCGGGCGGATCCAGCCGTGGCGACGGGAAGCCTTCGAGAGGACGGAGCACGCCAGGCAGGGCCGCGCTGGGGGGGTACCAGCTCAAGGGGGGAGACATCGAGCTTGAACCGGCGATACACCGCCGACAGATCGGCGACAAGCCCCCGACAGCAGATCCGCTCGGTCCCGGGCAGGGCGGGCCGTCGGACACCTCTCACCGATGACCGACTGCACGCGACAGGGACCCCTGGCTGAGAGTGACCTTCGGCGCGCGGCTTTGTTGGGAGGCCGTGGGGGAACCAAACACCAGCGCGCAAGACGCTACCGCCGCATCGCGCTGGGCCATCGGGGGACCCCACTGGGCCCGCACCGACGGTCACTCTGGCGAAGGGTCAAGCCGAGATGAGTAGGCGATCCGGGGCCGATGCGTCCCCTCCTGAGCCCTTTCCCCCCTAACGTTGCCCCGGCTCGGCTGGCCCTCCTCCGTGGTGGCGTTCGCGAGCCACCGGCAGTAGTGGTCGAAGCGGCGCACCGGCCGCGCGTACTGCCACGTCTTTTTCGGCCGCGCGCAGGAGTGACCCTCGGGCGCGAATTAAGGGGGGGCGATAAAAAGGGAGGGGGATGACATGTGCCATTTTAAGGACCTCTCTTCGGCAGCCCCGCTGCCCCCCCCCCCTTATCGCCCCCCCCAATGCGCGTCCTCCGAGACCCTGGGCTAGAATGGCCTCCGGCGCCCAGCTTCTGGGGGGGGCGCGGGCGGGAGGGGGGGTAAACCTCACGCGAGCAAGCCGCTGCTGGCGCATCGCGTCCGGTGACCGGACGACCCCAGCGGGCCCGCACCGAAAGCCACTCTGGCGAAGGACCCCTGGACATTTGACGTCTTCCTTCGTTGGATGCGCGCGGTCGCCCGAGCCCCCCCGGCCCTCCTCCCCGAGGCCGATGTTCCACCCCAGACCCTTGAGGAGGAGGAGGAGGAGGAGGAGGAGGAGGAGGAGGAGGAGGAGGAGGAGGAGGAGGAGGAGGAGGAGGAGGAGGAGGAGGACAAGGAGGAGGAGGAGGAGGCGGAGGAGGAGGAGGAGGAGGAGGAGGAGGAGGAGGCCGCGGGGTCCAGCGAGTGCCCCCCTCCGAGGCCGAACGTCGGCAACAAAAAGCCGAGGCCGCAAGGGGGCCACGAGCCCTCCGTCGTGCCCTGCGATCCGATGTCGCCCCCCAAAAAAGTTAGAGGAAAAAGAACTATGCACATGCACCGATTCTGGCCAGGCCCATCCTGAGCCCAGGATCGGTGCATACGCCCTCCTACCTTGGCCAGGAAGGCATATGCACCGATCCTGGGTCAAAGATGGGCCTTGCCAGGATCGGTGCATGTGCATAATTCTCTTCGCCCGAAAAGTTGCAACATCGTGCAGACATCACGCCCGGCGGAGCCCGTCAGAATCGCATCTTTCTGCGTCGTCTTTCGGGCCGCATCGATCTGTGAGGGCCCCGGGGCCCGACAACACATGCGAACACGCCCGGCTCGAACAGATTGAGGCGCCGGGATCTCAGGGCGAGATCTACGGGGCGCGATCAGGTCTGGGTCACTCTCGTGCGCAGCCGCGCCTTGTGCGAGCGCCGCGGCGGCTCCTCCAGCAGCCGGCCCTGCTCCTCGCTCAGCTGCCCGGGGTCGGCGAGGGCGGCATAAGCCATGCAGCAGGGCTCGACTCAAACAGTGTTTTTCGTTTTCGCTTTGTTTTCGTTCTCCCTCGTTCTGTCTCCAGTCCGCCTTTGCTGCAAGACGAAGTCGAAACGAAACTGGCCCACGAAATCGCCACAACACCGTTTTGGTCGACCCCTGCCATGCAGCCCAGGGTGGCGGCCTCCAGCAGCAGGAAGGCGGCAGTGATGCGAAGCGCGCCTCCCGGGGCAGATAAGAGGGTGGATCTCCAGACGTGCTCGCGTCGTGACGACAAACACCACGACGGAGGGGGGACAGGAACGGTACAGTCGGGGCGTTGACCTAAGGAGCCCTACATCAGGAACGAGGCCCCTCTTTTCCATAAGTTGAACTTCGATTTCCAATCGAAGACATGAGGAAAACCTGAGGCAAGCTGTGAAACGCTTAAGGAACGCGGAGCCCCTCCCCAACGAAAAGGGTTCCTTCTTCAGGGCCCCGACTGTACCGATCTCCAGACGGGCTCGCGGCGTCGCAAAACTCACGACGGAAGGCCTGTGCTGGTGTTCGGCCTCGCGGGGGCCCTCGCCGGGCCTCTGGGCCGGCAAGAACGGCTCGGGAGGACAAACAAGCCCGGGGTAAAGGGTCGCGACTTCCCGGGGTCCCGTGGTGAACACAATGAAAACATCGCATGTCTAGAGTCTTCCTAGATGGGGGTTCGAGTAGATGGGGTTGAAGGATCGCGCCGCATCTGCAATGCGTCGCCGATGTATCGGCGATGCATCGGCGACGCATCCGCGACGTTGGCGTGGGGAACATCGGGCTCCACATCGAGCCCCATCGTCGATGCATCGGCGATGCGGCGCGATCCTCCGACCCCATCTGCTCGGATCCCGTCCTAGGAGGCCTGGAATGTCTGGGCTGATGCCGCTGCTCCTAGGTGTAGGTCGGGCACGTCCTCCTACAGGCGGACTCTGGAAGAAAAATGACAACCACGCAAACAATGCTGAAAACATAGTCGAACAGAGTCAAAAACCGTCCCTGGACTATCTCTTGCCTATTCTTGAACACTCCTCCTGCAGAGGGTTCACGCCCGACTTCGTCCTGGGCTAGCGTTCCGACCAGGACTCCGAGAAGGCGAAGCCCCGGCCGCGGCGGCGATGGCCGCTCGGCGCTGGGGGGCCCCGGAGGGGGCGGGCCACCCCGAGGACGCGCGGCCTCCCACTGGGGGAAAGTCGGGCGTGTCCCCCTACACGGGGTTTGTGGACGAAAAATAAAAACGACCCCAAACGTACCCAAAACATACTCAGCCATAGTCCAAACATCGTCCCCAGACTAGTTTTGGACTAGTTTTGGATATTCCTCCAGTGAGAAGGACCGGCCCGACTTAAGACTCGGTGATCTTCTGACCCGGGTCAATCGAGACCCAGGTCAGCAGGAAACCAAAAAACTGCAGTGCAAGACAAAAAAACTGCAACGCAGGTCTTCGCAAACCCGGATCAGCCAATATGCGCGGCCGCCTCGTGGCCACGAGCGGCTCGCTCACCCGGGTCAGCCAGAGGGGGTCTTCGCAGGATCCTGCAGGCTCCGGTGTCCTGGCTAACCCCCGTTTGCATAGACCCCCGTCTCAAGGCTCCTGAAAGACTGCCCCAACATACCCCCAAAAATGCCCCAAACATACTCAAACGTAGTCCAAACATCGTCTCCAGACTATTTTTGGATTATTTTTGAATATTCCTCCTGTAAGAAGGACAGGCCAGACTTAATCGGGAGCGGCCAAAAAGGGGGTGTCCAAGAGGGGGGGGGTGCAAGTCATGACCGGCGGCATGTGCGCGGCCCAGCGGGGGGGCCAGGGACGTAATGAAATAAGACAAGGCGCCATGAAATCTGGGGAAACATCATGGCCCCCGCCACGATATCCCCCCCCCTGGTCATCGCCCCCCTCTTTGCCGCCCCCGACTTACCCAGAGACCCGATGTCGTGATTTTTTCAATCCGGGGTCCCCGGAAGTCTCGACCCATTCCCCAGGACCGGTTTTTCATCCTGGGTCGTTTTTTGACGGTCCCGGGGCCCGGCGAGGGCCCCCAGGAGCCGAAATTTGCGAAAAACCTCCGTCTTGATTTTTTCAATGCGTTGGATCTCTGGGTGAGACTGGGGGAAAGGGCTCCGTTCCGGGGCCCGGGCTCGCGCTCCGCTGCCCGGGCCCCCCCCCCACGCGGGAGCGGGGCGCGCAGACACAGAGCGGGGGCCCTGCGCGAGAGGGCGGCGCGGCGGCCTCTCCCGCGGGCGGCCCCTCCCGCGGGCGGCCTCGCCCGCGGGGGCCGCCCGCGCCTCCTGCTCCTCCTCCTCCTCCTCCTCCTCCTCCTCCTCCTCCTCCTCCTCCTCCTCCTGTCGCGCCTCCTCCTGGGGGGGGGGGGGGGGGGCGAGGCCGTGGGGGCCACGCGAGACGGGGGCGCGCACCCTGGACGGGGCAGGCATCCCGACCAGCCATAATCAGGGGAGCAAAAAGTGGCATAAACATAAAACCTCAGAGATGGACAAACCCCCCTTTAGTAAAACGTGGCTTAGTGAAAACGACCTGAAGCCCAAAACCTGGCGGGCGCAAGCCTGGAAAATAACGGCCACGGCGCCCTCTAGAGAACCGAAAACGGACCATTCACTAATCGACGTGTCACTGTTGGGGGTTCTGTCCACCCCCGAAAGCATCCCGACCAGCCATAGCTAAGGGAGCAAAAAGTGGCATAAACATAAAACCTCGGAGGTCCGCGCGGGTTTCTCGGATCCGCGCTGGACCCCCCTGGCGGCGCCTCCGGCGCCGCCCCTGGCGCGCTCCGCGCGCCAGGGAGGGGGGTCCAGCACGGATCCGAGAAATCCGCGCGGACCTCCGAGTATTTATGTTTATGTCACTTTCTGTTCCCCTAATAACTGGGGGAGCTGTGGTCCTTACCCCCCTGGGGGAATCCATCGCGTCGACGATCTCTCGAGGGGGCTGTCAAAATCGATGGGTCCCCCAAGGGGGTAAGGACCACAACTCCCCCAGTTGTGGCTGGCCTGTCATCGTCCCCCCCCCCGGGGATCCGCTGGGGGGGTTGGGCACGTCCTGTCGGCACGGGTAGAGGGGGGGGGTTGGAGGAAGCGGAGGAGGATGAGGAGGGGGCAGGAGGACGGACGGGGCGGGATTGGGCAAGCTCAGTCGGGAGGTGAATCACTCCCCCTTGATAAATACCCCGTCCAGAGTGCGCGCGACCTTGCGCGGGCAGCTCACGCGCCAGCGTCGGCGCAGACGATCCCTGTTTTTTCCCACATCCTAAGTGGGGCTCTTGTTTTCT